GATCTGGCGGTAGGTGAAGCGTCTCTCAGGGGTCGTTGACGACCTTGTCTCGATGACACATGTTCGCTCGGGATGTGCCTCTGCCTGGGCGCGGAAGTGCTCCTGGATGGAGCCGACGTAGCCTGACCAGTCGAGGTCTACGGTGGGGTCGGGTAGCTGAGACATGGTTGACCTGGATGTAGAAAATTAAAAGCCAAATGGGAGGCCAATCGCTCTTGTTGGCCTTTTTGTAAGGCAGGACAGCTTGACTCTTTCGCTCTGCATACATCGATTTTTTTTTCCCTCTTGGAGGGGTGACTCAATCGGAGCTTTGCGCGCTGGGCGCGCTGCCGTCCGACACCGGATGGAGGGGCACCCCCACTAAACGGCGGTGTAGACCCTGTCCCCTCCCCCGCATTTTCTCCCCAGCTCGTTCAAAGTGGAGATTCGCCCGAGATCAAGATAGGATTTCACACAGGGACATTTTTTGTCTCGTTTGCATTCTGTCTGTATTTGAGTTTGCATTCTGTCTGTATTTGATTTTGCCATCCCTCTTTCCGTCCCTTGAGATTTGACAGCCCAGTCGGCAAACCTCAAAGTCAACCGAATTGCAGGCAATTTCCTCGTGGCCAGGATTCGTGAACCCCTCCAAGGGGGCCCTCCCAGTACAACGAAATATAGAGGTCTTGCCCTAATTGCCAATTACGAATCACGTATAGGAATTCCACAATCAGCCAAACATCCAATGCCAAAAGCTATCTACCCTTGGTCGTTCTGGCTGTGGAGATTCAGCTACGAGGATATCCGGGAGTTATACAGGTGCCGGTGCTAGGAGCAAGCGCAAAGACGGACCGGTTTGGCTTTGTTCTGAGCCGTGCCGGCTCTCGTAGTCCGTGCGGCCGGCCCCGACTGGCCGGAATCCCGAACACGGGATCTCCTGTCAGACCCCTGAAACTCGGCGTCATTAGGTGGCGAAGTCTAGCTGTGTCTCGGCCAACCCCGTCCACTGGATTTCCTTGATTCGGCGCGTCGCCAAACAGCCGACAACCGATGACGCACAAAGGGTATCCCACCAACCCTCAATTGGCTGCCACCATCCCTCTTTGTGCATGATCTTGGAACAGCAGGCGAAGCTATTGTTCTTTTGTCCAATCTTGCAAGCGCTTTTTAAGGTGAAAGAGGCCACCCAGCAGCCACATGCATATGCTTGCGCAACTTTGCAAAACAATGTTCCTGAGGCTAGGGGTCCAGAAGGACCCTAGTTTGGGAGCGGATACACTATTTCATCACGTTTGCCAGCTCAGCCAAGTTGGCTGTGCTGCCCAAGTCAGCTGAGACACATTCTTCCTTCTTTGTACATTTCTTCCCGAAGCATATATTACCTGTATCCTCTTGACTTTTACGTATTGTTTATCAACAACCTCTGTCGTGATATCGAGACACACTTTTGCACCACTCCACCATAATAACAACCTGGCAACCACTTTACCGCAAAAGCAGCCATCATGAAACAACTTCCGATCGGCATCCCCATCATCACGTCGCTTGTGGCCTTCATTTTGGTCCTTCTGGCTCTCCTTGCCGGTTCGAGGCCGGGCTTCATGGAGGAATACGACATCATTGCTGTAAGTTTGTGGATTGGTATGCTTGCCGGAGACGCCCCTAAAATTCCACCCAGTTCAACACCTCAGCCCTCGGCAAAAACCTCATCGACCTCAGCAATGACCCAGATGAGCCAAGCCCCACAACGGATGGCCTCTGTGACGACCTGGGCGGCTTCCTAGGCAGTGCTTGCACAAGCGCCACAGCCGCAGTCGACAGCATCCAGAGCGATATTGCTGACACCATCAACGACATCGGGAATGACATTGCGGACGAGCTGGCCACCAGACTTGGGATCCACGAGTTCTATTCCCTCCATGCCTTGAGTATCTGCGAAGGCGACTTCTCTCCAAATGCCACCGCTCCGAGTGCGAGTCGAAATGCTTCGTCTTGCACTAAGGGCTTCACTAATGGTATGATGGCATTACCTGCTTCCTATTCTCTGTTGTCAGCTAACCATTCCAAGGATACAACATCTCCGCTCTGCTCGACCATGGCTTGCGCGTCGGCCCCCTGAAGCTCACTCTCGCCGACCTCGGCTTCACCGATAACCTGCAGGGCGCCATCGACACGCTGAACAAGGTGACCAAGGCCTTTGCCGTCCTTCTCATTATTAGCGTAGGCTTCACCGGGCTCTCGCTAGTCGCTTCTTTGGCCGCGCTCGTCCTGATCCCGCGCCAAGAGCGCCTCACGCTGCTAACCAACGTCATCCTCGCCGGTGCTGCCGTGGGGATCTTAATCTTAAGCGGCCTCGTCATCACCATCGGGGCACATATCGCTGTAAACAAGGTTAATGAGCTCGGCGACGATATCGGGCTTTCTGCGAGCGCGGGATACAGATATACCATTATCACATGGGTGGCTGTAGGCCTCATGCTAGTCGCCTTCGGGTATTGGCTTAGTCAGTTGCTCAAGTTCAGAAAGGGCAGCAAAATGGGGTTCAACGGCGCCCGGAAGCACGCTCGCGACTCCGAGGAGAGCGGCCATGCTAACGGAAGGACGGAGATGAGATCCGCCAGGGGCATTCACTTTGGGCGGGCTCGTCACGGTTAGCCAATTGAGATTGCGGCTTGTTGTTTGTGTGTTTGGGCCGGCGTGTTTTTCTTTTTCTTTTCGCATTTATACTGCATGATACCAAGATTGGCTTCCCCCGATGTGCTAGCTCTATGGCGAGCAAACTGGGTGGCAGGACCACCTCGGAACCAATGCTATATATTTATTTGTGTTTTCTGTCAAGGCATAGTAACTCCATCCAGCTTTATCGCCATGCACACGTGTTTACTCAAAGACAATATTATCCATCCTCAACGTCTCAACCTTCTCCCCTTGAGCCTTCCCGTTTGCTTTGCTCGCAACCACAGTTTCCTCTCCCTTCTTAGCCCTCATCCCTACCCCCCATGACCAGTGCTCCCTGGGGTGCTCGGCAAGTCCCATCATGGCCTTCGCGTCCCCAGCACCAGGACCGTGCTCTCTAACCATGGCCTCGGCTGCCTGCTTCGCATAGGCAACGACATTCTCCTCGTCGGCCACCATGGAGAAGAGCAGGGCGGCCCGCGTGTAGGCGTGGCCGAGGTACGTCAGGAGCCCCTCCTTCTCGTACAGGTCGACCAGCTGCGCGCCCAGCTCGGGCGTGATGGCCCCGCCGGCCGCCACCATCTTCTCGAGCCCGTCCTCGATCTCGTGGATGAGCTCCAGGCGGGCGTCCGAGGCTGCGATGCCGTCGGCCCCCGAGCTGCACACGGGGCAGGTGCACTTGAAGCCCCAGTCGTCGAGGCGCGATTGCCGGTCAGCTTGCGACAGGGTGCCGTCAATGTACGAGACGGTGAGCTCCTCGCCGGCGCTAATGTTGCGTGCGGCGATGACGGTGTGGGTGATGTTGGCGATGCGGTAGTGGAGGCTGAAAAGGGTTGTGTCAGTGCTCGTGTTTCTTGCAAGGCTAAGGTACCCCTGTAGGGTCTGGCTTACTTTGGCCTGCAGTCGTGGTTGAATCTGCTGACGTCGGGGAAGCAGCCGAGATGGCCCGAGTACTTTTTGTCGCCGTTGATGAATAGGCGGAACGAGTTCCTGTCGATTTTCATAAAGACGTCTTCGCCATACTGGCGCATGAAGGCATCCTGCCTCTCCTTGGGAAGCCTTCGGACAGCTTTTTCATAAAACTCCAGCCGGCTTTCTCCGTCGAGCTCGAGATGGGGGCCGAACTGGACAAGGAGGGCGGGCGTGTTTTTCATGACAACTTCGCCCTTGAGGATGCTCCGGTTGGCGATGAGCCCAAAGCCCTTCCCTGGAATCTCCTCCATGTAAAACGGCGGGGCTTCGTAAACAAGGGTCCTCTCAAAGGGGAACGCATCTATGACGTCCACATTGACCTCGGCTGAGAGGAGAACAAAACCGCCGTTCATGTGGGGGTTGAGATATGTGCAGTATTCCATGTCTTCCACGCAATCATACGGACCTTCCCATGGCCCCAAGTCACGGGTGAGGATGGTGGTCTTTTTTCTACCCTGCCACGGTGCAGGGCAGATGAAGCCATTTTGAGGCTGCAGTGGACTGGAGGAAGATATGCTCGTGTCCTCAGCCCGGATTGTGAGTATAAAGACGTGGATGCATAGCGCGGAAAGGAGTGTGAGGCGTTGCATGGTCTGTTACTCGTCAAGCTCGAGCGGCTGGGAAATTCGACATCAAGGGTGAGCTGATATCGTCCTTTATCGACTGGTAGTAGCATCAGGGAAGAGTCGTGAAATACTCGAACTCGACATTTTTGGTGCTTCTCCATGGCTCGGTTTCAGATCAGGTAGTTGGAACGTGGCCAGTGAGGCCTGTGATATTTGCCTAAATGCTCTGAGCATCGCTCCCAAGCCAAATTACAGTAGCAATTAATTGGTGTGACACATGGGAAACCTACAAGCAAAGCATTGGCAAACCTTGGAACAGCAATCGGCTCACTCAATTCCGTTTTTGTATTGCCTGTATATTTGTCCGTTCCACGGAGAGCATAAATCCGGCCGCCTGAAGGGTGCGCTCACAACATGCCCCTAATCCGCACACAGCCCCAACCCTGCATCAAGGCGCTAGATTCTCCTGCCAAGGGGGCCAATTATCCACGCACCTCCCAACAAATTATCAATACGCCATTGGTGCAGTGGTAACGAGCGTCCTCCAGTGTGCAACCATAAACCTACAACAGAGGTGACGCCAGACAAGATCGATGCGCTGGCCGGCGGCGGTGAGTCGCACTCGGCGCTCATCCTGCTGTACCGCGACACTCCGCTGCCGAGCGCGGAGGGACTGATGGAGTAGGCTTGTTCTTTGTCACGGAGCAGAGATACATGGCGTTGGCTTGGGCAGTGGTATCCAGGGTTTGCCGGATAACAAAACATGGTTGCGCATGGCCGGACATTAAACGGTCAACGTTTTTGAAGTCTTCCGTAGTAAAGTAGTCAGTATATGAGCTTGTCATCTTGACTCACCACTTCTGAGGTGGAGAAGGTCATTGCTCGGGACCCGGGTTCAATTCCCGGCGGGAGAGAAATGGGGAGGGTGTTCTTTTGCACATCTACTACAAAGTCCCTTCATCATTGCTATCGACAATTCTAGTGAGATTGATGTTTTTGCCAATGAAATACCGCAAGAACCTGACTAGTAACTGGGCAAAGAAAACAAACTAGGTATAAAACTCCCAACCCACCATCTAGATGTGTCAATGTAGACAACCACCTCCCCTCCACTGAGATCAAAACAAACCATCAAATTCCGAGTCGGGGAGCATTTCCAGATCGGTCTCGCAGCCCGAGGAGCTGCTTTTCTTCTCAGGCTTCTTCCTCTTCCGTGTATCACTTCCCGTAGGAACTGCAGGAATATGGCTATCAGAGGGAAACGCAGCGGCCTCGCCTGGGTATGGCTCGTCTGTCCAGGGGAGGGGCCAAGAAAGTCGGCCGGCTGCTTGAGGGCCCGGGGGCCGTGCAAGTCAGAATACTAGGGACCGGCTCAGTCCGAGCCCGGGCGGGTTGACGGACGGGTTGGGGCTGTGGGATGCAGAGCTCGGGGGCCATGGGCTACTCGAGGCAGAGGACCCGAACGGGTAGAGGTTGCTGGCTGGTCTGGCGGCCAGGGGGCAATGGTCGGCGAATGTGTCGCAAAGGTCAAAGCGGCGAGCCTCGCTCTGAGATCGGCAAGTGGTGGAGGAAGAAGCTCCCGCTGAAGTAGTTCCCGTCAAGGTCTTGGCACCAGACTTGGACTTCAGACTGGCGAGCTGCGCTTTGAGTGCATCCAGGCTGTTGGGGCCCTCATCGGAACTCGGGGTCGGAGCCACCTTGACCGGCTGGTCTGCTGGCCGAGGGGGCATTGAGCGAGAGTTTTTTTTTTGCAGAAGCAGAGGACGCATTGGCAGACTGCACGGCTGCAAGTCTTGCTCTGAGCGTAGCGAGGTCGGTGGACCCTTCATCGGAGCTGGATGGCCATGTGCTGGAGAAGTCGGAACATCTAGTAGATTCACGGTAATTCTGCTTCTTTTGGTCGTCACTCATTGTGGCAAGAGCCTAGATGTCTGGGTACTTTGGTAGGTAGTATTCTTTTTGACGCTCTTGAGGTCGGTCCTGCGTAAGTCGCCGACTACCTCCTTAGACGTGGCTGTTCTCCATGTTCCGAGTTGCAGATAGTGGGGGAACTTGAGCTTTAAAATGCTATTCTCTTGACTTTGTAAAGCCTCAGGTACCTACCTACCATGTCAAGTGGCATGGATCATGTGGCATGGATCAAGTGGCATGGATCAAGTGGCATAGGTGGCTCTGGCAATGTGTCTTGAGCAAGGCATACAACGTTGCTCAAATTGTCAACTTGCCCCATGTATATTCCTAGGTAAGGTACCTTGGGTAACCTCGGACTTTTTACTGTTAGCAATGCTTTCTGAACAAAGCTAAACAAGTTGTAACCATCATCACACATGTCGTCGATTCCATCCCTAAGCTCGGACAAATCTTTGGTCTAGATAAGGTAGTGGTCATACTACCTAATCATGTTGAGAAATAACAGTAGTGAAATTCCCTCATAATTACCCAACTCCGAACACATCGCCTAGCGCAGGAGCCAAGTTCCGAACACAGAAAGCTCCATAAAGATTCCTCCTCATGCAGTTTAGGTTACGCCAATATCGTGACAAGGTTCTCCCAAATAATAACACTTAAACACTCAAGCCACGACAAAAGTCTCCTTTCCCCATCCGTATACCCTCTTCAGCCGTCTTGAAATAATGAGAACCATGTACCCCTCGATCCGGGACTGATGCGGTCGATGCAGTGTCAGTGATTTTTTGATGGCCATGGTCTCTGGCGGAGAAAACGTGAAAACGGACCCAAACTTGGGCATGACAGAAAAGCCAACCTCGGCCATGGCTGCCTCAAATGCTACCCAGGCAACAGACCCGCGAGCTTCCGACTTTGCAAACAACGCTGCGAAGACTTCGGCGGCCGAAGAGCTCACCGTAAAAGTTTGCGGCGAGAGGTCAAGATCCTCGAGGGGGTTTGTCTCGGGGCTCGGCGCGATCTCGTAGACGGATGAGCGCAACGGGCGTGTCTTCTCTTTTTCCCGGCGTTGCTCGACTCTCTTTTCGAGCTGTGGGGTGGTTGGGGTCGGAAGTGCAGACCATTCAGTCTTGTCTTTTCGCTCAAATTTGGCCTTGATATGCTCATACTGATTCCGTAAATCAGAAAAGCAGTCATCGACCAGGTCCTGGTACAAAAATCCCATCTTGGTGCCAGTTTTGTCGATGACAAATTGCTCGAGCGCTCTCAAAGCCCCCTCGGCCATTCCTGGCTCGAGCAGGTTGTCAATGGGGACCGCGAAGTCTCGCAGGTCAATTTCACCTTTGAGTGTGTTCAACTCAGTCTCTAGCTGCTGCGATCTGGAGACGAACATCTGCCCCTTCTTGCGGGAGAGTGAAGGCATTGAAATGACTGGCGATAGGTCTTGGATGAAGCCAATAATGACAGCTAGGTCGGACAGCGAGTCAGCCTCCCCCTCGGACAACTTCTCCCGCTCCGTAGGGTGGGCTTGATGAAGATCAGCCAGCTTCTTCACCCAATCAACAGCCTTGGTGGCAGTGGTCTCGGGCTGGCATAGACGCAACATGTAATGGAGCTAGGGATCGGTTCTGGTTAGTTCCTCGGGGTTGCCCTTGATGGTGGTGCGTGCGTTTCCCGACTTGTCGAGGATGTTGGAAACCCGCTTGAACCACTTGGAGCCGCTGTGTCCCTGGACATGACGCTTGAAGAGGCCCTTCACACGGCCGTATTCCAGATGGCAGATGTTGGAAATCTCTTGGAGAACAATTGGCCGGTACAGCTTGTCGTTAACCGAGCTCTCGAGAAGCTCGAGGAGACGGCCGACGTAGTTCCAAATGGCAGCGCCCTGAATAGCGCTGTGAGCTGCTTCGAAGACGGCAGGGTTGATGTATTTGTCGGTGTGGACCGGTAATCGGCGCCCTTTCTCGTCGGGAACCAATTCTGGCTGGGTGAAGAACCACAAGTTGACGGCATGAGCAAGTACGACAGGCTCGGTAGAGAGCAAGTTCAGGCATTCCTCGAGCGTCTCTTTCTGGTCGCGGGCACTAGTGATGAGTTCTGGAAGTGCAAGCTTCCTCGGCGGAGCGTGAGCTGAGAGACCAGAGAGAGCAGCAGTGACGGCTTTGTCGGATTTCTTGGGTGGCTGGTTTTGCTTTCTGTCTTGGGAACCCTCTTCCAGGATGTCGTCAATGATGATGTTGAGCGACTGCAGCAGGTACATTTGCCTCTGTAAAATGAGCTCCCCAGTTGACTGAGGAATGACGAGCTGGGCTTACATGGCCCTCCTCAATGGGCCTGGTAGGTCAGTGAGCTCGACGCTCAACCTGAAGGCTTCACCGTATTCCCGACTCAACCCCTCGATAAAAATACTGTAGCAGTTGTGGAAAGGCATAGCGCATCGGAGATTCCTTGTGGCCATCATCTTCTCGATGAAGGCGTGGTCACCCAGGCGGCCATCATAGCCATCTTGGTATTGGTGATATAGGGACTTGGTGGCACGGTGCTGAAGCAGGTCCAAAAGGAAGTCTGGGCTGGACTCGGCAATGTCGCGCAGATTCCACTCGGGTATGAACTTGCACACAGCTCCTAGAGATGGATCAAGTGGGTGCTTCAATACGAGACCCTCAGCTGCACCAGCCCTGAGACATGTTGCTCGCTGTCTTCTGTCAAACAAGCGCCACATGCTCGCAACGGCAACGCCATGCTTTCTGTACTTTCGAGCGAGGTCTTGGTGCAGCTCCTTCACTATCAGGTTAGTTGGAAGCCCGCTCATTGTGCGCCTCGTCAGCCTTTGGATCGGACGATTTCACGACGGAAGGAGAAGCCCTACCAGCAAAAATCCGTGCTACCTGCAGAAATGCCCCACTTTGACCAGCACCAGGCCCAAACACGTCGCGGCCCAACGAGCCAGACTTAGTGCCCTATCACCTAGGTCTGTCTCTTGACAAGAATTGACAATCCTTTGCCATCCTCACGCGGGGCCACCAGGGAGTGTACAATCTGACCATGGGTTGTTTGTTAGCGTGTGGCTTGCGGAAAGTCCTGGAAAGAAAAACAGAACTGCTTCGTTAAATGTAAATGGTAAAACCTGCTTTGAAGATTGTTGAAGCTCACGGGTTCTTTTCTGTCCCCATTTGAGATATTAGAAGGGCCTTCCATATAAAACCCTCAACAGGTTTTTTTGGTGCATGAAAGAGGTACTATACATAGCTTCTAGAAAATGGGGAAAAGGGTTTGGACTAATTATCCCGCGAAATAGGCCGTCCGTGTTAAACTGCTCCAAGGGGTAAACTTGGGCTTGAAAGCCGCACGCTGATAAGTAGAGCAAGAGCAGTTCCGGCCCAGGTGCTTACACTAAGCTGTTTTTACCGTTGGTTTTGATCATGTAACTAGGAGGATGTTATCCGTACTGGGAATGAGGGAGTCAAGAGTCCGTTCTGATATGGCTGAGGTATTGTTGTCAGATCTTCCAATAATTACCACCGAGTCGAAGGTAGCAACGGTGCGTCAAGTGCTACCAGGTGGCAAAGAATACAAAGCAGGAGCCCTACCACATCTCGATGAATGGCCACCCCTGCTTGGTCTGCTCTCTCTCCCTCATTGCCTGTTCATGATAGTACAAAACTCCGAATGGCACCGCTGTCCCGTCCCCTCTGACGACAGCTTCGCCGTAGCGATTGAACTTGATACACCTCCGACAGCCCCTCTTGATGTGATGCCCGCATATTGTGTTGGTGCATATGCCATAACCGGCTTGCCTCATCATCGCCATCGGGCTCATCGCGAAATAGCCGGTCAACATGTTTTGATCACACCGGCGACACTGGCAGCACCAGAAATAGGAACAGATGTCCCCGCAGATGCGGTCTCTTTCGAGCACGGCACCGTCCAACTTGCCAATCGGCTCGCCATCATAGTTGGCGATGGTGATGTTGCGCCAGTTAGACGCCCTAACCCTAAAGCCGCAATG